GGAGCTAGATAAGACGAGTGCGATCCCGACGATGATGACGATGACGATGACGATGACGATGATGATGACGGTGACGATGATGATGTTGGTGGTGATGATGACGACGATTACGATGATGCGGAGGAGGAGGAGGAAGAGGACTGCAGAGGATGAGGAACGAAACGCGCCAGGCAAGGATGATGAGAAGGAGGAGGGGGAGCTAGGTTAGATGAGCGATTTCATTTATCATCCATGCCATCTTCATTGATTCATTGGTGTTGCATTTCCTTTGGCCGCAATTGCAATCGAGGTCCAAACCGCCCTTTGAAGCGCCGCTGGCGCCAGGCAGCCATGGGTGACCCCCCCTGGGGCACGGCCGAGTACGATCGGAAGATCGCGGCCAATTATAAGTACAAACAAAGAGTGAAAACGCTAAAGGCAAAGGAGGCCAAGCGCCGTGCGAAAGCTAGGTTTGACAAGGCCGTGGACAAAGCGGTCGCCGAGGCGTTGCGGCAGAAAAACAGGGCGACGAAGCAGCGCAACGACCTGCACGCGATGTACTTGGAGACCAAGGACACGGGTGCATATCAAACTCCACTGCCCCGCTGCGCTTTCCCTCAACAGCTGCTGCTGCGCTCTGCTGCTGCCCTGCTGCTGCCTTGCTGCTGCCCTGCTGCTGCCCTACTGCGCCCTGCTGCTGCCCTGCTGCGCCCTGCTGCTGCCCCGCTGCCCCCACACGCACGAAACCTGGTGTAAAACCCGTGGGACCAGCTGGAGCAAGCCAACACCGCCCTCTTCGACCAGAAGAAGCTGCTCTGGAAGCAGAAACGGGAGACCAACTTGAGGAACAGGCAGAAACAGAAGGCTGAGGACCTGCTGCCCTGCTGCCGCCCTGCTGCGCCTTGCTGCTGCCCTGCTGCGCCCTCTGCCCGTTCCTCCAGTTGGTCTTCAGGAGGCGTTGGCCGCCGCGGAGAAGCGCCCCCGGGCGTGAGAGGAGTGGTGGGGGCGCTTCGCAAACGCGGTCGCGGACCGCCTGCCCTCCTGGGTGGCGAAGAAGGCGTGGCTCTGGCAGAAGCGCCCGCCCAAGTACCGCACGAAGTACTGCTGCGGGCAGTAGGCGGGGGCGCTTTGCCCGCCCTCCCGCCGACGCTAGCGCGGAGCGAGAAAAGCACGCCCGCCGCCCGCGCGAGCTGGGGCTGGCAGGGGCAGCTGGGGAGAGCAGAGGGAGCGGCGAGAGCGCGCAGAGACGGGCCTGGGGGGAAGGAGGCGGCCGCGACCCCGCTAGGCAGCGGAGAGGGGCGGCGCACGGAAACTACAACAACAACAACAACAACAACAACTAATAATAACAACGACGCCAACGCAAGGTCAATCAGAAACAGCAACGCAGCAGAAACGGCCACGCAGACAACCGACAGGAACAACGACACGACGCAACAACACCGCGCCGACGGTGGCAAACGCAACGGCGAATCAGACACCAACGCAAGGTCAATCAGAAACAACAACACAGCAGGAACAACGACGCAGCCATCCAACGGAAACAACGACGCAACGCCACAGCAGCGCACCGACGGCGGCAAACAGAAAACCAGAACAACAACGACCACGACGTTGACAATCGGTCGTTCAGAAACAACACCACCGCGGAAACAATAACGGAAACAGCCGACATAACAGCGGCAGGACGCAGCAAAAAAGCGGACCGACGGCGGCAAACAGAAAACAGCTGAGCCCCGTGCAGGGATCAAGGGCATCCGAAAAGTTGGATGCCCTCATCCACTCATCGAAAGCGATGCCGCCACGACAGAAACGACAACGGAAACAGCTGACAGAAACAGCGGCATAACGCAGCCACATCACACCAAAGGCGGCAAACAGGAAACAGTTGGGCCCCTTGCAGGGATAGGGGGCATCCGAAAAGTTGGATGCCCTCATCCATTCATCGACAGCGATGCCGCCCCCCCGCAGCCCATTTTGGCTCAGTGCGCATTTGCTGGACCGACCGTCTAAGCCACCGCTCTGCCCCCGTCGGCGATGGGGAAGAGCGCGATCAAGCGCCCCGCCGCCGCCCCCGCGCCGAAGAAAAAACCTGCGGGAGTGTTCAGGCCGTTTCCGTTGCGCAAGAGGGGCAAGGACAGAATGAGCCAGCACCGGGAGAAGGAGAACAAGGAGGTCGAGCATGTGCGCCACGGCAAGAAGACCCAGAAATCGCGCAAGGAGCGCGAGACGTGGCCCCGCACTTACGACGATTTCTTCGGGAAAACTGCGGACCAGATGGTCGACATGCTCCTCGAAGACGGCGTCTTGCTTGACTGGGAAGGCCGTGCCTGCCCGCACTGCGGCGTCGGAACCCTGGGCGCGCGGGTGCAGGATGACAGCCGCGGCCCGCATTGGCGGTGCAACAGTGGGAGGCTGTGCGGCAACACCGTGCACCCGTGTTTTGCCCACCCTGTATTCAAGTCTGGCGGCGGCCGCCAATCGTCAAGTTTGTCGACGAAGGCAAAGGTCCTCTTCTGCCTCGCGCTCGGCATGACCACCGCCCAGATACACCTGTTGAAAGGAGTCAACCACAAGATGGTGGAGGACATGAGCAGGGCCATGGCCGTCGTGCGGCAGACCTACGTGGAGAGGAAAGAGAAGGACATTGTCTTCGGCGACCACGCCAAGAGGCGCTGGTTCGACGTTGAGGCGGACGAGTCGGTCTTCCGCGCCCAGCTCTCCGATGAAGACGTGGGAGCAGTGGGCGGGCGTCGTCGAGCGCGGGCGCCCAGAGAGCCTTGTTCTGTGGAAGACCCAGTCCGACGGCACCGTGGCCAACGCGCCAGGCCCAGGCGCCATCAAAAAGACCGACTGGGCGCCCTTCCTGAAGGGCCGCCTGGAGGACAGGAGAGTGATCCTGCACTCTGACGGAGCCCGCAGCTACAAGATGCGCGCGTCGGGCCTCGTGCACGACAACGTGGTGCACTGCGAGAAGCGGAAGAAGATCGGCGGGAAGTGGGTGTGGTTGAAGCCCATCTACTCGAAGGTTGTTACCCACAAGTTGCCCGACGGTTCCACGATCAGGGTCAAGGCGGGGACCCAGATTATCGACCGCGCATGGAGGTTCATCAAGACCCTCATCGGCACGCGGTCAGACCCTCCAGGCAGCAGGCATCTCGCGGCTTCTGTTCGCTCGGCCCAGTTCGAATATTGGAACAGGGGCGAGGACCTGTGGGCGGCGACCGCGAACGCTATCTGGGAGGTCATGGACTCGGCGTACTGAGGGCATGCTCCGCCAGCGCGGGGTGCAGCCAACGGCCGTCGCTGCCCCCGCTTCCGCTGAAAGATATAAGCATATGTTTAGAATGTGTGGTAACGCTCTCACCGCTGATATGGACCGCCCGCTAGCGAAAAACAGTTGCATTCACAAATGCCGTCGCCAGCCTTGCCACCTCGCAGCAATGACAACGTCCTTGCTGACATCCGTCTGTTCGTAGCTGTTTGGGCTCCCTCAGAGTGACCTGGCATTCCTGCCCCGCCACCAGCCCACGGCACATCTCAAGCCATGGCTTTCGAGTGCGCCTTCATCCAGAACGTCGCGCCTGGCAGCCCCATGCCGCCCGACTCAGCGTGGCGCAAGATTGGGCTTGCGCAGTCTCAGCGCCTGGCCGCGGGCGAGGACAGGGGCGGCGGGGACCCAGCGTTGGTTTTTCTTTGCGTATACACGGGTGGTGCTATTTGTTTTTGATTTCTCATTGAACCCCCCGCCGCCCAACTTCGCATTGGGGCGGTGAGCAGTGTGCTTTCGGTTGGCCCCAGGACAAGTTCACCGTGTGCTTCTGGCCCAACTTCATGCAGTTCCAGAAAAGTGGGATCCCCTTTTTGGCGCCAGGCTTCGCGGGCCCGCTGTGGGTGTCGGGCGACCCCGCAGTCGGCGACGTGCTTATCCGCGAGTACCGCTGCTTCGAAGTGGTGGCGGAGTGCATACACCACGATGACCGCGACCGCACGTGCACCGTGGCGCTCACCTCCACCGACTACCCGCACTGGTACGACGCGGCGGAGGTCGAGTGGTCCACCACGTGGAAAAGGATGGAATGGATCGTGCAGCAGTCGCTCGGCCTACCCCCCCACCGCACAGCGGTCTTTGACGCGGGGCGCTCGCCCGCGCGAGCGGCCGATGATTTGGGGGCGGTCGGGCATATCTCGGCGGCGGAGATCGATCGGTGATCGCGGTACTAGCCATTGTCCTTGATACGCTATTGCAGCTGCTGCCGCGACGTTGCTTCTGCCGGTGCAACTGCCGCTGCGAGTTCCATTGATGCCGCGGCGGCTGCTATTGTTATTGTCATTGCCACCCGCGCCCATATCCCCGCCCCCATTGCCCGCCCTCTCTCCCCCCCCCACGCCGCCGTTGGGGCTGGCACGACCGAGGTGGGCGGCGTGCAGCCGAACCGCCGCGTGCACGTGGGGCCGTTGTTCGGCCTCCGCGGCTTGCGCCGCCGCCTGCAGTGACTGAGTGAGCGGGCGGCCACTTCGGCGGGGGGCAGCCAGCGGCCAACGCTGCCCCTCCGTGAGTATAGATACTTATCGTTTCCAAACTGCCTGTCCCGATTGAGCCGCGCGATGTGCATGAAGCCCAAGAGCAGGGCACTGGCCAGCAGGATTCGCTCGTTAACTCTTGACGTCAATACTAGCGAAAACAATTGCATTCACCAGTGCCGTCGTCATGAAAATCTCTTTCGTGCTCCCATTATGTCTCCCCCCCCATCGTCGGCCCCCCCATGTTTGCCACTCTGCTGATCGAGAGCTTCGCCCAGCGATAGACCCAGCGGGGCGCGGCTCGCTCGCCCCAGAACAGCCCAAAACAACGATTGGTCCAAGTTGGTTCACGGTGCCCCGAGAGTCTCTGGCGGGGCAGCGTTTAGTTGCGAGCGTTTTCTGGCGCTTCTCGCGGCCCTTTCGTCGTCGCCGCCAGTGGCTCAAGTGACATCCGCTAAAGTGTTGCCCCAAGCTCCTGCGTGCGACCGCTGCGTGCAATGGCGAGCCTCACGGCTGGCGGCGCCAAGTCCATGGGGGAGATCATCGGCGGCGATGCGTCTTGCACCGACCAGATCAAAAACACGCGGTTGCACATGGCGGCGGTGCAGACGCACAAGCAGCTGGGCAAGCCCGAACGCTTCCAGTCCGACCCGCCCGCTGCCTTTTGCCTCCGCGACATGCCTCTCCAGTGCGCGGAGCAATCTGTGACCATCAAGCATTTGGTGGACTGGGTGACAGTGGAGGATGGCGCCGTGGACCACTTGGACAGCGTCGACGTGTACGACGCCATGTGCGGGGGTAACTACATGGCGCTGCCTGCGCCATTCAAGCCGAACAAGGACCCAGGAGAAATCGCTTTTACCATGCAGCTTTACATATTGCCGAAGGACCCCAACGGCGACCAGTACGTCCTCAAGTCCGTCAGGTTCCAGGACAAGGTTCGGACCGACATCGCCAAGGAGATCTTCGTCGCGGGCGCGGCGCTCTCCGTCCATTGGGGGAACTCGAAAGACATACATACGCCGCTCAAGCTCTTCCTTTACATGATGGAGAGGTTGGGCGGGGTGCAGATCCGCCATTGGGCCCAGCCGTCCGTGGTCGCAGCCATTGCGGGTGGCGGCTACGACAAGGGAAAGCGAACGGCTGGCTTCCGTTTCATAGAGGAGTACGGCCTGAAGGCGAACAACCGCAACCAGTTCGTGGAGTGGACCGACGAGATGATTCACGACGAGAGCTCGCCGATCTTCGGTTGGCAAGCGTCTGAAGTCAAGGAGTCGCTCCGCAATTACGCCGCGGGTTCTGTTGGTGCGAAGACACTCGAGCGTTGGGCGGTCACGCTCAAGCGCTTCCACCCATTCGTGTTCGACAACATCGTTGTCCCCATCCTCAAGAGCCACGACGTGCACGGGACCATGTGGATCGGCAAAACGAGGGTCGGCAACTCCACTGCGTCGAAGACCATCGGCTTCGCGATCTCAGCCTACCAAATAGACAAGAGAGATCGCGCCGACCTCCGCCCGAGCATTGTCACGACCAAGAAGATCGACTTCTTGCGCCTCGAGCCTGGGGCCGTGTTCAAGCCCGCCATCGCGGACGACACTGTCCTCGCGAAGTGGTCCCCCGACGAGATCAAGGCATTCCTCGACCCTGCCGAGGAGGACGCGCTGCTGTGGGCGAGGCGGCAGGGCGCAGACAACGCGCGCCATTAAAAAGAAACCACGAACCACACAACAACGACCATTGTTTTTTGTACGTTTTGATCTGCGCCGTTGTCCGCGCGCTGCGCAGGTGGGGTGGCGCCTCCTTCGAGCAGAACCAGTCTCGCCAGATCTGCGTCAACCCGTGCAATGACGAGTTCGAGAGGTCGGTCCGTTCCATCCGCCTTGACAAGGAAGAGGTCGCATTCGCAGACTTCCTCAAAATCATCGAATGCAATTTCGTTGGCGAGAAGCAGGGGAGCAACCAGATGGCGGACGTGGAGGCGTACCTCGCGAGGTCCAACATAGTGCTTCTCACTGAGGGCTGGATGTACATGCGCTTGGCGTCCACGACAAAGGATCCAGTACCCCGCTTCCCATGGCCAGTTCCAGAGAAGCCAGACCTCTTTACGCCCGAGACCACCCCTATCCTGAAGCGCTTCAAGAAGGACCAGACTTTCGCGCCGCCCGACTACGACGTGACCATGAAGTGGGCCGTGGCCGCCATGAAGAAACTTGCCCGCGGCGATGACATCGGGCGTTCGTCGACGGTCCGCGGCCCCATGCTTTTCAACCAGGAGGCGCCCCCGAGGTACAATTTCCCAGATTTGGACATTGACTTGGAC